GATCGCAACAACACAAAATGTAAATAAAAAACCATAGCTGTTTACGTAAATAATATTACGAGCGAACCACATAATATTATTTCAACATTTTATAGCTGGATTATTAAAGAGTGTAAGAATAACGGAAAGAATATTCTTAGATTGCAACCACGAGACCAGCACACACATACGATGTTTATATCTAAACTAGCTGTACCCGCGGGCTTTGCCCCGTTTAACTTCATAAGTATTCGCATGGCTCATTCACGTCCTGGTTGAAGTTCGTTCGCTACGCTCACTCACCTTTAGGTTAGAGCTCGTTCGCTGCGCTCACTTGCCTTCAGGTTAGCTCGTTTGCTACGCTAACTCGCTTCCAAGTTGAAGTTCGTTCGCTACGCTCACTCACCTTTTGGTTGGAAATTAGCTGTTGTCATAAATAAAAAAAAATAATAGTGCTGCACTCTATTGGTAATCCTTGTAACTTTGATGCTATTGGGCATTATAGAACAGAACCAACTTGTTTAATTGAAACAGCTGTTAAGATTCATTAATTCCTTTAAATATGAAAAATCATAAGGTTAACATGGGGAACTACAGAGCCACTGGGGCGGAGCCCGAAAGGATTTTTGAGATAAGAATATGCTTTAATGTTAATCGGGAATGTGAGCTATCATCATGCCAAATTTCAGCCCAATCCGTCCAGTAGTTTATGCGTGATTGAGCAACAAACATACACACAAACACACACACAAACACACGCACAAACTCACAAACTTTCAGATTTATAATATTAGTAAGATAGTCAGTACCTCTAAATACATTTTAGTTTCAGTAAGAATAACTGTACCATTTAAATAAGTTTGCTTAAAATTACCCTTTTCAAAAATCCCCATCCTAAATTGTCGGGCATTTATGCAAAATAGGCAGTTATACGGTTATAAATACCCGGTTATTTTATGTCATGCATCTTAATTGAATTACAATAATGCACACAGAAAAATATATTTCACTAACGACATCCATTATCTGATTTCATACGAACGTGGCTTGTTGTGTTTATAAATCAATAAACTTTGATATATTATTATAGGCGAGCATTAGGACAACAAAATATGCGAAAAATAATCGTTTTGGACGTTTTGGTTCAGCCTTGTTTCACGACCATCCTATTGTATGGAAGTACCTATATCGGTAGCAGTGGCTTCACATGTGTTTCCATGCTGTTGTTAATACTTCAATACTTTTCAATGAAATGGCGACCATACAAATTATATATTTTAAGTTTTTACCAACGTCTCAACAAAAATCCCCTGCGAATCCCTGTCATTAGGCTCCGCTTCTGATTTGGTCTCGACCAGCAATAAGCCCGGCTTTCACATCATTAGGCTCTGACTCGTGAACCCGTTTTTTGGTCGATGCTTATACAGTACAGGGTATTTTTGTAAAAACTTGCATCTTTATTTATGTAAAAACCGCAATAGATAGAAATATGCAGTTTGCGGGAATCATCTATTGACGTAGAGGGCCCAATTTTTTTTTAATTCCATGTTACATTCACATTCCCCCTGCCCCTAACTTAATTTTTTTAAATAGCAAGGTACCCCTTGTGACATATCAAATGAAAGAGCATGAAAAAAGAAAATGTTTGATGAAATGAAATTGGAAATCGGTTCATAAATTTGCGAGATATTCCCCCCCCCCCCTTCCCGGAACTTAATTTTTTTTAATAGCAAGGTACCCCTTGTGACATATCAAATGAAAGAGCATGAAAAAAGAAAATGTTTGGTGAAATTTATTTTTCATTTGATATGTCACACCTTGCTATTAAAAAACAAGTTATGGGTAGGGGAAAAGGGGGGGGGAATATCTCACAAATTCATGAGCCGATTTTAATTTTTTTTTCACCAAACATTTTCTTTTTTCATGCTCTTCCATTTAATATGTCACAAGGAGTACCTTGCTACTAAAAAAAATTAAGTTCCGGGGGGGAGGGGGGGAAATATCTCTCAAATTTATGAACCGATTTTCAATTTTTTTTCATCAAACATTTTCTTATTTCATGTTCTTTCATTTGATATGTCACAAGGGGTACCTTGCTGTTTAAAAAAAAATAAGTTGGGGGCAGGGGGGAAAGAGGGGGAATGTGAATGTAACGTTGAATTAAAAAAAATTGTGCCCCCTACGTCAATAGATGATTCCCGCCAACTGCATATTTCTATCTATTGCGGTTTTTACATAAATAAAGATGCAAGTTTAAAAAAAACACCCTGTATAGTCCGCGACCAGCGTCTGGTTGCGGACCATGAAGTCCCGAGCTCGTGAACCGCCCCTTTGTGTTTGTTGTGTTGCGATTGTATGGTACCTTGTTTAAGCTTTCATATATTTTTGTGATTTAAACTTTAAATATAAGCTGGTTAAATATAAAAAACGCTCTCTAGAACTATGAGGTTATTTTATTTACTCTGATTTTGTCATTGATTATAGGAAATAAGTATAAGTAAGATTAGTAGACCACCGAGATAAGCACACCATCAATGTATAAAAGTCGAGGCTCTGTACACGAGTCTTAAAAAAGGGTATGCAAATTATTTTACTGCTCAACTTTTTTAGGAAAGGGTAGGGAAATCCATTTTTTACAAGTTTTAATTCATCTTGGTAGCTTTTTGTTTACAATCAACGTTTTTGAATGCTTAAACTTTGTTTGGATTAGGCCCGGAAATATTGATGTCATAATGAAGGAGATCAAGAATCCTCAGGAATACGATTTAAATTACCACCACAACCTCAGACGAGTTTTATCCAAAGATATACAGATGAATGACATAGATCGAGCACAACGTCATCATTGACCTAGGATACTGATTTTATAAATATACCCAAAAAGAGGTTTAGTATTACAAAATATCCAAAGGCAAATAAAAAAAAATATCTGTGTGACTTAGTTTCAAATATTATTATTATTACTGTAACACTATTAGAGCCAGTGTGTTAAAAACAGATGAATTATTGATACATTAATTTATGTATTACTATAACAGTAAGCGCAAACACCAATCAACATAAGATAGTCAATTTGTGTCAGTTAGCAACGTCATTTGGTTCAGGGTTGCTAGCCCGGACCGCGGATACGACGGGCCGTGCCAGTGCCAGGCCTCGCGTATACGAGAAGCAGTGATGCAGTGTGTGGTGTGAGGAGGGGTGAGGGGGGACAGCTGAAACACACACCTACAGCGCTGCCTCCAAACGGACATCCAAGCGCGCGCGGTGGCGACGGGTAGAACTACTACTCCTCACCTTCAGACTAGCCTAGCGGCCAAACGGCCTTAAAGGGCAATTTATGAAATAATGGATAGTTTTGCGCAAGGTTTCTCGTCATGACGAACATTTTAAGTATATGGTTTATGGGGGTGTGACTCTCAAAAAGTTTATGGGTTCTTTGGGCTTTATGTATAGATTTTTTATTATAAAATTAATTTCTAAATGTTTAATTATAAAATTAAACTGTCCGAGTTTACCTAACCTAACCTAACCAATCAAACTTGTTGATAATATAAAAAAGATATAATATAATTGTTCTTAAGTCGATGTGAGTATTTCTCGCACAATGCCCGACTTCTTCGCAGAAGAGATTTACATCGGCTTCTGACCAGGCGCCTGAGACGCCAGTCTAGGCGCGCGGTGTCACATTTTTTATGTTGACTCTACTCGGACAGTTGAAAACTCGGACACTTGATATTTCGATATTTTTTAAAATAATTTTATAAACTCAGACAAATGAAAACTCAGACGGTTGATTTATCTAAATATTATTAGTTATTTATCAAAACTCGGACAAATGATTTGATCCCCTCTAAAAATATTTTGGAGATAAAGGTTGATGAGCTCCAGGTTTTGAATACTCAGATCATTGATTTGTTATTGAGTAATGATAATGTTTCGGAAGATGAGCTGTTAGCTGAAACAATCAAAGCTGGAGAATATTTATTTTTGTTTGAAACTGTAAAATTAAGAGTCCAGAATTTACTACAACAAAGTAACGATGTGCTCATTCTGGATCTTGCTTTAACAGTGGTAGTAAGAAGAAATTTAAGCTCCCTAAAATAGAGATTTGAAAGTTTGATGGAGATTTAATCAATTTGTTACCTTTTTGGAGTCAGTTTAGCAAAATTCATAGTGACTCAGACATTGATTCAGAGGATAAGTTTCAATATTTATTGCAATCCATAGTTCCCGGATCAAGAACTTTTGATGTACCGTAGTTCAGAGTTTTCCTCCTACTGGTGCAAACTATCAAAAAGCAATTGAATGTTTGAAAGCCGGATTTGGTATGGATGGCCTGCTGATAGAGGTTTACATCAGGGAACTTTTGAAAATTGTTTTAAACAAAATGCTTAAGGAAGCAAAAACACAATGAACTTACAAAGATTGTATGACAAACTTATATGCGTGCTTTAGATACCTTTGGGAGTTACAACAGATAAATGTTCCTCCATGTTATATACACGTTAGTTGAAAGTTGTATGCCTGAAGATCATCCTCTTAAGGGCGTGGCAAAGAAGCCTATTAAGATTAGGTACAGACCCTACCTGCACCAAATTGTTCACCTTCACCGTGTTGACTAGTGTTGTGCAATGGTCAAGAGGGTGTGGCACGTGAAACAAATGGATAATAGCACACGACACAAGGGTAATTGTAGGCAGCAAGGTCAGGCAGGACCTTATGAGAAGGTTAGAGTATTGTCGTTCACCCCTTGCCATTCCCCACACACCCCTTCCCCTCACTCACACAGTTACAGCGCCTATCCGAATCACCGTACTAGCAGCGATGGTGGCGAAATATGTGGCAACTTGGGGAACTACTACGCTCAACATCAGAGTTCCCTCTTCCCAAACAACCTATGGGCCACATTAAGGAAACCCTCCAAGCAGGCCTACAACCACTGGATGGACTTATAATGACCGTATCATTCTTCTAGCATAGTATATAGATATGAAATATAATTTTGTATTAAAACCATGCAGGTTCGCCTCCGGAGATCTACGCAGAGACTACTGAAGTGGAAGCAGATGAAGGCTACTTCGTTACGTTGCAGTGCAGCTCTCGAGGCAACCCAACACCTGTCATGCTTTGGATAAGAGGAGGCTCAACGGTAAAGCTATATCAGTAATATACTACTAGTCTTTGGTCAATAAAGTAGTTATTGACTGTTTACTAAGCCCATATCATACTGTATAACGAAACAATACAACTTTCACAAAATGTAAGCAATTCGGATGGAGTTATGATATTGTGAGTTTTACTGTACTAAGATTGCGGTACAGTAATTGTGGCTTTTGAACCAGTAAAAAATTATGGACAGTACTTTCTTTATGAAAAATCTATTTTGAAACTAAACCCTTTCTCTTTTAAAAGTAGCACTTTAAATTTATACATTCAATACAAGCCAACAAGCAAAAGCAGCTTAAATAGTTTTTTTTTTCTTTTATAGCTTAGTGAAAAGGGAGGAAGGTACAAGTTCTTGACCGATGGCTCCCTGCAAATCGTGGGCCTGGTGCCCTCAGATGCAGGCGAGTACACATGTGTGGCTGACAACGGCGTCGGAGAACCTGCGAGGAAGGTGTTCCACGTGAGGATCAGAGGTGTGTTAAATACCAACACTGTAAGTTATAAATAGGTAGCTCGTTCATAAAACGGCCAGTAAATCACTAACCAATACTTACTAATATTTTACTAACAAAGTTTTTTTGGATATTAGTATTAACAAAACTGAATTTTTGGTCTGTAATTCAAAGAGTGTTTGAAATTGTATTATTTTTACTTTGATCAACCAAATTATATTGCTCTTTATCTAATCCGGCAATCTCAAAATTTTTACTCAGAATTTTAAAATCTTTACACAATCACTGTATTGTTTATACATGATTGGTTAAATGCTGTAATAATACAGTAAATAATACGTTTTAACTTATTTATTAATTATTAATCCGAAAACCAATCCATGCAAATCAATTTATTCATAACATACATTTATTCAATCCATAAATTTATTCAATAATACTAAGCTTTGATAAAATTAATAAGATTCATAGATTTGCTGATGTCCAAAACATTTTTTTTATTAATAAATATACTATAATGTAGAAAGCTTGAGATATCTTAAAATGTAGGTAAATCAAAACTATTTGAAAAAATCCTGTTAAAGATGAAAGAACATGGTTTTCATGTGAATCATAAACATTTCACTATATTAACTGTTTCCCAATTTTTGTTTTCTATTATTTATCGGTAAAAGAAATTTGCAATGAATCTACTATAATACAATTCGGACATGCACGCCTAACTTTATTAAAAAAATCAAAGTTAATAAAACTGTAAATCTGAAAAATTTTAATATATCTTATATTGTTGGCCTTCTTATAAGAAATACGGTATGAAGTATGTCTAAAAAATATTTGTTTAAGTTTTCTAAACATATTTAGAGACGTAACCTAAAAGAATTAAACATGTATCTCTCTCTCTTTACATTAAAGAAGTAATAATCTTCTGTTTTAGAGTGGCAGCGTTTCATAAAGTCCAAATTTCACAAAGTCCAACGGTTAAAATATTAAATAAACAGAGTGTTTCACAAGGTCCAAATTTCATAAAGTCCAAAACTATAACGTTCATATAATCACTGTTTCACAATGTCCAAATTGCACAAAGTCCAATGTTAAAAAATCAAATAAACAGAGCGTTTCATAAGGTCCAAATTTCATAAAGTCCAAAACTATAACATTCAAATAACCACTGTTTCATAATGTCCAAATTTCACAAAGTCCAACGTTAAAATATCAAATGAACAGAGCGTTTCACAAGGTCCAAATTTCACAAGGTCCAACGGTACAGTCTGGGCCAGAAGTCTCTTCAGTGGTTGCCACGGTCTGATAGCAGGCACCGTCCACCGGCGCTCAACTACTGATTACTGATTACTCCCAGTTGCAGCAAACCTAAGTACGGTACTTGTTCAACTAATGCTATTTAAATAGGGAATAAATGTGATAATTTTAAGGAGATATTCTAGTGTAAATCAAATAAGGGAAATGGAAAATCGATTAGTCTGCAGGTTTGCTGCGGAGGGGGTGAATACCACTACTTTACACTCTTTACAACGTATATACGCACCCACAATGATGTTTTGTGACGCGTGGCAACAACACTAGGAGGCGGTTCACGAGTCACGGGTTATCCTTAGTTCGAGCGCAAAATCCAGTTATAGCCAGTTTTTTGCGCCGCGGCTTAGAAATCGGCTTCACGAGTACGAGGTTACCCGCGCTCGGGCGCAGACAGATAAACTTCACCCAATTATGACAGGGATAAACCCGAGCGCAAAAAGTCGGCTTCACGGGTTCAATTAGAGAAAACCCCGGGCCAAATGTCGGGTTCACGAGTCATGGTCTAGCGCAAACTGGATAATCTCGGGCGTAAATAACAATGGTTTTGGCCTTCAACTTAACCCTGCTAGGGGGCAGGGTTAAGTTGACATCATGTCGGGATTATCTCATTTGCTCGTTTATTGTTTTTTTGTTAGCAAAAAGAATGTTATATTCGGATTCGCCATTAAATTCCGAACAATTTCATTACCCTCAACATGATATTTATTTTTTTAAATTTTTTTATTACTAATTGCCGAAAACATGCAAAACTCGTAAAAAGTAGCTGTTGAGACATTTTAATTCATTATTACTAAGTAAAAATATAACTAATAGCTTAACGTATTCATATAAATTTAAATTGCAATCGAATCTTATGTTTTATATTCATTTTAGCAATTTTGAACCCTTTTATAAAACGTTGTATTATAACAAAATATTTTTTAAATTATAACCTGTTTTCTCACACCTGTTTTCTCATGCTTATAGGGCTGCGTTCTACCCATCTGACACGCGCAAATGCAAAGGGTTTAGTTCTTAGGCCTGCTGTTTGTGGCCCCTATTGTGAACAGCTTTAACACGTTCGCTGCGGCACGTCAAATAGCGGGCGTATCCCCAGTGCGGCGCAGCCCTAAGTGTCGAGTAAACCCGATTGCCGCGTGTGATTGGCTTTCCAATTTCGGTCTGACGAATAGCAAATAACGTGAGGGGATGTCCTGCTTTACAACGAGAGTCGACGTAGTTCGCTAAAAACCCACAGATAGCAGCACTGCTTGGAACGTAGCCGGTCCCATTGGAATTGTATTGCCAAATGGAGGGAAAAAGACGGGACAAAAAGAAGACTTTTGAGATTGCCAGACGGGGATTTTACGGGGTAATTTACTACCAACCTACACCACAACAAAATGCAAGTCACATACTACACGCTAACGTGGTATAGGTCCGCTTTCGGCCGACGCTAGAGCAAAAACGAAGATATACAAAAGGCATTACCGAGCGTTCCCGATGGGGTACGGACGCACCGTACGGGGGCAAAGCGCCGTACCCGATCGGGAACGGCCGCAATCTACGTGTTAAAAGATCTTGGTGTCATAAAATGTTATTGTAGGTTTGCCATTTTATGTTTACGTTTAATACTGTTTACGTATGAAGGCATCTCGGCTCCTATAATAGCCAGTTGTTCCTCCAAATAGATTTTTTATACAAATTACTGATACATAAAAGATAATCATAAATCTTTGAAAACAGCAGTCATTTTATTAAATAATTTGAACGTTTGGATAAAACTGCAAACCTGATAAAGTATGTCTTATTTTTGAACATAATTGGTAACCTAATTTTATTGCAAACATTACCAAGATTTGTTAAAACTTTTTTTTACATAATTGCATTTTCCCGATGCAATGTATTCAGTAATAGTGTATTATTCAAAATTCAATGACAAATTGAGTAACTTTAAACTTTAGTATAAAATGAATTTAATTGCAAGTCCACAACCTTTTATACAATATCAGTAAATACCCTGTACAATTATAATAATTTATGAACCAATCATTATGACGCAACGTCATCCAATTATTATTGTTCATCATTATTGTTTTGGGGCTCGTCGACCGCGAGCAGCGGCCTGGCAGGTGGCTGTTGCCAACCTCCCAACGAAAATTCCCTGCTCTTGATCGACGGCCAGCGTTGGTCTCGGCTAAGCTTGATCTCGGCTAATGCTCTATGTCGTGAACCCATTTTTTGACCGTCGGTTAAAATTGGTCGAGATCAACGATAACCGCGGGCCACGAAACCCCGTACTCGTGAACCGCCTCTTGGTAGTGTAGTGCCTACATACCGAACCACGGCAACCTCTGCAGCGACTTCTGGCCGAGACTGTACCGTTGGACCTTGTGAAATTTGGACCTTGTGAAACGCTATGTTTGTTTGATATTTTAACATTGGACTTTGTGAAATTTGGACATTGTGAAACGGCGATTGTTTGAATGTCATAGTTTTGGACCTTATGAAATTTGGACCTTGAGAAACGCTCTGTTCATTTGATATTTTAACGTTGGACTTAGTGAAATTTGGACCTTGTGAAACGCTCTGTTTATTAATAATTTAACCGTTGGACCTTGTGAAATTTGGACCTTGTGAAACGCTATGTTTATTAATATTTTAACCGTTGGACTTTGTAAAATTTGGACCTTATGAACCTCACCCTTTTAGAGTGTTTAATTGTTATCATTTTGTGACATTGAAACCATTGGCATTACTCAACTGATCAGGATAGTAGTTTTTGTTTGCTAACTGTAGTTAACCTCATGGCTAACATCCTAAGAGTAGATAACCAACTAACTGGTGGAGGTGCATGAAAGTGTAACTGCATGTGTAGGTCCCAAGGAGCGTCCCGCAGCTGTTTTGGGAGATGACAGTCAGAGTGTCATTGTAAGTCTCGGGTCTCGAGCCGTGCTGCAGTGTTTTGCTTATGGATACCCAGCTCCCAGTGTCACCTGGTGGAGGGGGGAGAGAATGCTTCCGATGATGTCTGCCGAGCTGGAGCAACGAAGAGACTGGTCTTTGGTTCTCTACGCGGTAACTCTCACATCCCTTGGCCCCTACACCTGTCAAGCGTACAACGGCAAGGGCAGTGCTGCATCGTGGACTGTTACTCTGAAGGCCGTCGGACCTGTTTACAATGACCCTAATGATGTCACTTACAACCAGTGGCTAGTGCCACCTCCACGATCTCCCACAGATACATACAAGCCTCATCCCCCTCCCTACCGACCCCCTCGACCACAACCAACCATTCCACCCGTCGCCGCTGCAACCCCCAGGGTCTTTGTGGGTATGTTTAAATTTAAGTACCATGATATTCTCCAGCAATTATATATTTATTGATTTTTCAAAATATAAAAACCAAAAGGGCCACATCAGAAGTTTAGAGAAGTTGTAAAATTGTTATACTAAACCTATGGTTATAGGCAAATTTTCCATACAAGAGTTAGCAGAAATATTTTTACAAACGTTCACACTGTTTAATGAAACAATGTAAAATTGAGTTACACATTTATAACAGAAAATTTCAAAGGATATATTATTATATTCATTTTAATTTTGACCACAGATGTTTTTATTTGGATTAAAAGATAAAATGCATCATCAAGTAAACTGTTATTTTGCTCCTTTTTTCAGTTAACTGTTCATGATTGGCTATTCCAGTGGATAAACAAAGTAAAACACTATGTACACAGAAAACGAGAACAAATCATGCAATATTGATTAAATAGCTTGTATCCTTAGTTATTTTTATTCATAAAGCTTGCAATCTTCAGATTGATATAGTTATACTAGAATACTATTTATATTTATCAATATCTAATTGAAATTCAAAGATTGTCTTGAACTATAGTAATCAAGCTTAGTTTTTACTCTGTTTTGTAATAGATGCTTTAATTAATATGACAGTTTTTTATGGCAAAAGAGTACTGAGGTAAAAAGCTACGGAACCAATCATAATCAGAGCACACAATTGTCTGTTGTATTGCTGTAGTAATCTCTCTCTCTCTGTGTTTTAGTTCCTGTGAAGACGACTATCACTCTAGACAAGAATACGTTCCCAGTTGACAGTGACATTTCTATACCCTGTGATGTGGATGGTTACCCAGTGCCTAGTGTAGCATGGTACAAGGATGGACAACCCCTCACTACTAGTGACAAGATACAGATCTCAGGTAACACTATTAATAGTGACTTGGTACTCTAGAAACTTGAAGGTTGTTATAGCATCACATTAAGTTGAAACTTGTCAACAAAGTTTGTGGAGTTATTTATTGTGTTATGGTCAGAAGAATAGACACTTTATCACTATTTCATTATCAACATATTTATGTTTTTTTATCGAGTAGGTAATAATGTACCATGAACTTAACTGATTCAAACAATCAATATCTCAAATGAAAGCCTTTATTTCTTTGAGTTTTTTAAGGCCAAAATAGGAATGGAGTTAGGTGGGTAAAAGAATCCTGGTACATGCCAGATTGACTAATGTATACAGTATTATTAGGACTGCTTGTATATAAGGGGTAAAAATCTTTTAAGGATAATTATACATCCATTATTTGAGCAAAAGTATTCAAAATCTTTGAAAAAATATTGTTTTTTTCTAGGACACAATTCCTTTACAAAAACTACCGTGTAATGAAGTTTTGGACCAACAGATATTGGAATTTTGTCTGAATATGTATGTACATCTTCTGATGTTGTGATGTTACAATTGCAGAGAGCAGCAGATTGACAGTTGTGCGTGCAAGTGCTAACGACTCAGGTGTTTACCGATGTGAAGCAGCTAACCAGTACAACTCATCCTACAGTGAGGTCAACGTAAATGTTGAAGGTTGGTCAATTGCATATAAAAATGCTACTTTATTTATAGTTTTGATCCTATATAAATGCTGACTACAAATTTCTTTAATGTTGAAACATTTTAATTTAGAGCTTGGGAGCGAGGGATGTCTTGAAACTAGAGTACTTGAGAACTTGATGAATAGTCACAAGCACCAACATAAAACTGTTTTTTATCAAATTTTACAGCTAAAAAATAACGGTATTTTTTACAATAAATTAAGAAACATGACAAAACTTATGTAGATCTATCCATTGACAAGTAATTGGTCCAATTTATTGTTCTTAAGGATAACATGGGAGCTAAATTACAGTGCTTAACACTAATTTAACTTTAATTCTATCAACTATTACTATAAATAATTGCTCATCACCTTCATATAACATTCTCCACTTACCATCCACTCTAACTGCATCGTTACAAGTAATTTCTAAAGAGAAAGGGACATTTTTGCCAAATTTCCTCCTCTTTTGAATAAGGTTAGTACAATTAAAACACATTCTTTAATCAAAACGCTCTATAACAACAAGTTTCACTAAAGAACAATGCTCCCAAAATATCATCTATTCATCCTGCATAAGTAGGTGAGTTAAAACTGGTAACCTCTCTAACTGAATCACGTCACACAATTAATTGTTGATCAATAATTACTTTAAACATTTGCAGGCATCTACGTAGATCCGTTGTGCACAGACAATTCGTTCTTCGCAGACTGTCAGTTGGTAGTGACAGGCAAGTACTGTACACACAAGTGGTATGGCAAGTTCTGCTGCAAGTCGTGTACTCTGGCAGGGCAGCTACCATCCGTCGGTCCCCACCTGGAGAGTCTACAGAGGAGGAGACGTTCTCTCCCGCACCACTGACCCCACCCCACAGTTCCTGTGTACGTCACCCACTGCCACCTCCATCACCATTTCTGTGATCCAACTGAATGACCCTATATTTGTTCTGTAGTTGGGTTGTGTTGATTGGTTCCGTATGAACTCTCGTAGTGAGTTTTCAGAATTTTTTTAGGATTCAATATAAATAATAAATTAAACATCCAACCGTATAGCTCAGCAGTCGTAAGTTTACCGTTTAGTGTCCAAAACTATTGATCAATCTTTGTGACGATAGCTTTTCATATGGTTTTCATATATTTTCACCAGATTGAACAATTTAATTACAATTACTTTGACCAAACAGTAGTAATACATCTGTTACGGACAAATGTTAAAAAGTAATGGTTAGTACTACAGTAAACATAACCAATGAAAGTCTACATCATTCAATGTACTGTACATAATGAAACACTGTTGAGCTTACTGGATATTGTATTGGAAAGTCTACATCTATTTCCACAATCTATGTCTATTTTTAGACAACAATTTTAAAAATATAATTTGAGTTTTTGTGCAAATGAATTTAATTGCCAGGTACAGTAGCACTATATTTTGGATTAGAAACTGCAAGAGAGAAAGAATTTGTATAATTTATTGGACTCAAAAAGCTTTTAAAAATATCCGTCTCTTCTTATGTAGGCTTTTGCAGCCGGTAAAAACACCATGAACCTTTACGTCTCTTGGAGACCCTGAAAATGTTTTTTTACATTAATTTTTAGGTTGAGTCAAAAAATATATTTTTGAATGTAGAAAGGACCTTGTACTTCGACTATTATATATAATTCAAGCATTTGGAAATATGCTTACGATTGGGTTGACTTGTGTTGTGCCAAAATGTGTTAACCATGTTCTTAGCCTGCTTGAAATATGTGTATTATTGTTCCCCAACCAACCCAAATCTTAATGGTACAAGTATGACTGAAGTGTAATATGTAGGCCTAGCATAAAGGCACTTTGTAGTACTTAGAACTGTTAGCTTACATAAAACCGTATATTCATAAGATCTGATAGTTGCCAAATGTTTCTATGTTTATTTATTGTACATTTAAATAATTTATTGAGTTTTGTATGTACTCTACTTGGAAATTGTTTCTTTTATATTTTTTAAAATTATAGGCTAGTTCACGTAGATTTTCATATGAGAAATCTTAGTGAACTGTTATAAAGATTTACTGCAGACATGTTTTTCTAAATAATAAAGCGGAGAGAATTGGTAGTCCTAATAATAAAGAATACTTATTATGTAAAACATTGTTGAAGATTTATTTAACTTATAAAATTTATTAATTTTTATATTTACATTTGATTTTTAATATTTTCAGATGAAACTTGTATATTTTTAACTACATCAATTTTAGATTTTCAAATTGAGTGATTTATACTGTGCCTTTACTTTATTATTATTGATATGAAATGTATTATATTTTAATATAGAAATACTTTAATGTAGAAGTCTGTAAATAAATGTCACAATAAATACAATGTTTAAAAATCAATTGCTTGATTTTTTGTACAATCATTCATTGGCTAATGTTAACAGTGTTTTTAGGTAAACCAAGCTCTTGGATACACATACTAGGCAACTGCTTTGTTTCTGCTTGTAAAGACTAGGCTATGTGGAGCCTTTTATACAGGGTGAGTTTTTACTGAGAGTTTTAACTTCGCCAGTAGCTACCATAGATAAAACATACTCCTTTAGTAGATTTGTCATCCTAATGGAACAGCTGAAGCCAATTTTATTGTTAGTTCTGTACGACCAACTGAAATGAAAGTTATGATTTTCTACCAAATATTATTGCGTTACCTAATTCAACATACTTTTAGCGAATTTCCCTATAGGGAAGTAGCTATTACCGTAGGTGGCATGGTAAGACCTAGGCCCGGGACCGATTTACTTTTTCATTTTGATGTCCCCAGAGGCCAAAAACACCATTCGTTCAAATTTTTATATATGTATATATATATATATAGACTTATATATATATATATATATATATATATATATATACGTCAGTGAACGCGATAACCTGAGTAATTTTTGTCCGATTTTGATGAAATTTGGTTTAAAGGTGTAAAGCGGGATAAACTTGAATGAGTTCGCGAACCAGCATGATCGGACCATGGGAACGGGGCTTTACGGGGGGCTTTATGGGGTAAAAATTGGTTTTTCTCACTTTTGACCCTCAAAACACAAAATTTCCCAATTTCTCTTTAGACCTTTTTAAAGAGCTTAAAAAAACAATCAATTTAGTATATAAAAGTATTTCTGTTCGGTTAATAGTAACGGAGAAAATTAAAAAAATTGTAAATTTAAAATTCCCATGTTATTCTTATGGAGAATATTGTCAAATGTTGTAGTTTGCTTGTTTATGGATATATTTTGTATTTTGATCAAATTTATTTATTTTGTACTAAGCTATCAATATTTTACAAAAAAACACACTTTATTAGTTTCCTTGTAGCAGCAAACCTAGGTACTCGTTAAACCTAATGTTATTCAAATATATTTAATTGAAAATCAATTAAGACAAATGGAAATTCGCTTAGTCGGCAGGTTTCCTGCGGCGGGGGTATTTAAGTAACGATCAATTATTGTTCTGTACAAATAAATTAAATCACTTCTTGTTGGAAATTCTAAAATATCTGATCATTGTTTTTTTTATCTTTCCCTTGTAACCATAAATAATCAAATTATTTTAAACATCTGTCAGCTGGTAGTTAGGGTAAGAGCTAGAGTTATTGGCACTACCATAGTTATTGGCACCTTTTTTTCAAAGCCTCTTACACCTAAATGCAAAAGTCGGTGGAAGAGGGGAGTTAGTTGCTGAGATGCCCACATGAGTTCTCTGTACTTCAGTGTGTGTTTGGTTATTTCAGAGGCCATGCTAACCTGCACAGAATTTTTTTTTCAAATGCTTAGCCGATTTTTATTGATTCTTCACATTTCCTTAAGAATCTGACAAGGACTTACATACCTGTTTATTGTTTCCTATTAAAACTGAATGTTAAAAATTAAGTTTTCATTATTTCATTAGTATTGGGAAGGACTGATTTGTCTATTCCTGCCACCCATTTACCCATAATTACCTAATATATGAGGGTGCCAACAACTGTGTCTAAAATATGTAGTGATTTAGTTATTGGCACTACCTTGGCACTGCCAATAACTGTGGTAACTGGCATGCCAATAACTGTGGTAAATACATTAATGCCGATTGGCACTGGTATTTATTGTGGTTATTGGCATGCCAATGACTGTAGTCACTGGTAACAGGTGACACTGCCAGTAACAGCATTTACTGTCATGGAAGTCTCCAAGTTATCGTAACATGGTTTACACGAGTATATGCTATAAAAAATAATTTATTTAGGCCAATAGACTTAATTTATATATATAAAGATCCAAAGCTTCACATAACTAATTTTTACCATAAAAAAGGGTAAACCAAAAACCGATCCATTATATTATGTTTAAAACCATTAAAATTCCGTCGAAAAACCCCAATCAGGATCAAATATGTAACAAAGAGAATAAAAAAATAGGCCTACAAAAGATAAAATGTGAACGTTGTAATGAAATATTTCACAGGAAATATTTTGATGGCATTGATTACGACGAACAAATACCAATTAATATGTATAAAGACGGTATTAAGTTCGGTAAAGGTGTTGCCAAAGAACTGAAACTAGGCCTACCATGATCAATTTTAAGAATTTTAATTTTACTTACTGTTTAATTTTCATTTTTTCTTCTATATACTATAATATGATTAGGCATACATCACGTAAGACAACAAAGACCACCTTAGGACGCTTAAAATGTAATATTTGTAGACTTTTTGATAGGTGCCAATAACTGTGCCAAGATGTGACAATAGCTATGGTTGATGGTGCCCATAACTATGGTTTTTGTATTTTTTAACATTTTAATTTTTTAATAAACTTTATTATTAATGATATATATATTTTTTTGTACACCCCAGTATTCTCAGTACATTCTGCTACATGATTAAAAAAACGTAGATATTAAAAAAAATATTGCAAAGGAGCTGTGTCAGATTTTTCCGAAGCCTACCGTTAAGGTGCCAATAACTGTAGCATTTACCCTAGGTGACAACTAAATTATATTTAACACTAGCAGTGTACCCGTCCTTCGTACGGGGTTGGCATATAAGTTTAACCCTTAGAGTGCCAGGCGAGAAATAAAAGTAACGCTAAAAAAATGCCGATGATTTTTCCCGAAGGTCGCGCTAAAAATGCCGAGCGCGATCTGGCGATTTTTAGGTTAAAATTTCGTAAAAATCGAATTTTAGATATTTCGACCAACGAAAATCGATGTATCGCATCTAGTAACTTTTGACTCAATGTTAATATATGGGTAAAAAGAATCCGAGTATCCATTCGGTTGTTATGACAACTGTTCGATCATTACAAAACGTCATGGACTACCGGACGTTGGCACTTTTGGCTCGTTCTAAAAACGTCTGGTCGGCACTTTTGGCTCGTTTTAAAAACGTCCGGTTCCCCGGACGTTGGCACTCAAAGGGTTAAAATGCTTATTGCAGTTATACTCAAGCTTTGCGTTTGAAATGAGGGAGGAGAAAGTTTCCAAAGTTTGCTTCTTTAAATTGACGGTATACTATGGTATTACATATCTACCATAGCCATAATGTTCTACCACTTAGCCTTAGCAATAAAGAAAAATAAACTATTAAACATTCGCAAAAAATCACAAATTATTCATGACATTAAAAACATAAACATAACTGTAACAATCCTACTTTGACAGTTCTCATTGCTTATCACAGTTTTTTGTTGTTGCTTAGCTTAATTTAGCTGTTTACATAAATGCAAAAAAATATAGTGCTGCACCCTGTTGGTAAGTCTTATAACTTTTTAATGCTTTTGTATATCATAGAACCAACTTTTTTAGTTGAAACAGCTGACAAAATTTCTTTAATTCCCTTTAATTATGAATACTCATAAGGTTAACATGGGGAACTACAGAGCCACTGGGGCGGAGCCCGAAAGGATTTTTGAGATAAGAATATGCCTATATGTTAATCGGGAATGTGAGCTATCATCATGCCAAATTTCAGCCCACTCTGTCCAGTGGTTTATAAGTGATTGAACTTCAAACAAACAAACAAACACACAAACTTTCACATTTATAATATTAGTAAGATTTTAAGTATCTGGTCACATCACTACAGGAGCCCCCTGCGAAGACTAGAAGTCCATGCAGGGTTCTGAAAAGTTACTAAACAAAATAAAATAAAACAACAGCAAGGATAATTTCATCAGCTGACAACTAAATTATATTTAACATTTTTAGTCTCTGGTCACATCACTACAGAATATTAAATTTGCTATAATCTAAAGGTTTCATGCAACAATTATACAATTACATAGTCCGGTTCATGCCCAAAATAAAGTAAAAATTATATTAATTAATTAATTACATTAATTTTATGAACCTACTTTAATACATAAACCTACATCTATGAAATGTTCAAATGCATAAAAAACATAATCTTTCAAATAATGATATGCTATTCAAAACTATTATTGATATAAACCAGTGAGAAGTTACTAATAAACTACAATAAATAAAACACAGTCTACAGATTTTGTTGTTGCAGAATTTTTACTGTTAATAATAACTACTGTAAAACTGTATTCCATGCTGTATTTTATTGATACAATTTGTACATTATTTTAACTTTTAAATGTTTATTATGAGTAACTAAATTCATAAAATGTATAAACTTAAGTTATTAAATATGTAGTTTGTTTGATTCTTAAATTCTGTATAATTAATTAATTTTTCCTTGTACTTGTTTTAAGTCAGCTGATATTGATTTGTCATCTATAGATAGATAACTCAGCTGATTGAACATACATTGTTGAGTAATTTGTTGTTTTCATTTTCTGTTTCCAAGTCAATTAAGCGTTTTTCAACATTGGTTACGCTATGGAACCTTTTACCAATCAAGAGTATGCTGATATACACTTTGTATATGGTTTCTGTTCCAGTAATGCGGCGGAAAGCCGTCGTGAGTATAGTAGACGTTTTCCTAACACAGGGGTGCCCATCCCCCCCTAGACTCATGACGCAACCCCCCCCCCCCACCATAAATGAGGTACACAACAAATGAGAAAGATTATTCCACCGCCCAGCATTATTTGTAAAACTAAAAGAAGTTTTATAATTTTTCTTAGATATTGAAAATTCAACTGAGATAATAAAATAAAATATCAAATGTCAAATTCAAATCCAGTTAATCTATATCCGGTTGAGCTATTCTGTTTAAAGATGTAGTTTTGTCTGTACATTGCTCAGAATTATACATATTTTGGGTTATTTTTACGTTCTATACTTTGAAGAAGTTGAAACATGTCTTATCTCAATTTATGTCCGTCTGTCACGGCCCAGATGGTATTTTACACAGCCATCTAAAGAAAACTA